AATCTTTTGGATCCAGAAATTTTCGATACAGACAGCGTATCAATTGTTTGGAATACACTTCCAGAAAATATCCGACAATGTGAATCTGCGTCGGTTTTTAAATCCAAAGTGAAAACTTGGTTGTTTAGTCACTATCATTAACACTCCAAAGTGAGAACATTTTCTAGCGCCTAGTGCATTCCCTAGTGGATTAAATAGTTGCGCGATACAAATATCATTATTATTATTCTTATTATTAAATTCTACTTTCCTACATAAAGGGGACAACTTATTAATATTTTAACATTTCATAATCAGTAATAGATCTACATTAACACATAAACTACCTGTTCTGTTTTTCCAAAATCTTTATCTGTTTATATCCATGGAGTAATGCACCACATGTATAAAACTTGTCCGCTTGATGAATGAATACATATCAAATAAGTTCCCTAATATAGAATATATATTACACCCGATGGGGTAATTCTTGCATGCCTCGATGACCTTGAAAATTTTCATTGCCTTAAACATGACTTATTTAATTCTAAAGTCAACTCAAATACAATATAATGGTTAAACCTTTAGAAAATATATTTGCAAAGAACTATAGCACAAGAATATAGTCCCAAAATGTGATTCCATTAATCCATTGGCCATTATAGATTTGGTAGGATCTCGAGGCATACCAGTCCCCAGTGATTTATGATGCATGCAAATGTTTGATGCGAATTGTTTGTTTAAATGAAGAGTGTAATTTAGTAATACATTAAAGTCCATCGTATTTAATTTATTCATTTTTATCAATTAAGCAACGTCATCCAGCCCTACGAGTTTTACTAAATTAAAAAATAATAACAGTCTGTGTTTCATTATTTTACTCTTTATTACTATGGAAAATTATATTTTCTTAGAGAGGGAGACTATATATGTTATTTATGTTCGTGCAACGTGATCCAGTCCTAGAATATTTAATAAATTATGAAATTATAAAGTTTGTGTTTAATTATATTTACTCTTCATTGATATGACATGTGACATACCGGTCCCCTATGATTTTTGATGCATGGAAATGTTTGATGCAAATTGTTTGTTTAAATGAAGAGTGTAATGTAGTATGATGTTAAAGCCCATTGTATTTAATTTATCTAATTTCAATTAAAGATACATTATGTAAGATTTAGATAAAGAGCTAGCCATTCTTGCTACAATAGTTCGAAAATAGATAATGTAAAATGAATAATTTGAAAATTTCATTCAAATTAATCTATTGCGAGCGAAGATATTAGCTTTTGAAGGTTTGTCAAGACGTGTGCAATAATTTCAACCACCGTACTGGTTGTTCGAAGCTAAGTCTCGCTCCTCTATTTCTAAATTAAATCAAAATATGGCTGAACCTTTCTAATCTATTTAATATCAGAGAAATCTGATGCCATCAAGAGTTGATTATTGTCTTGATAAGTTAAATAATGTCTAATTAATAATTCAGAAAATATTTCAGACTTGCATAATGTATGTTTAATAAAGAACTGTGCAACGTGATGCAGTCCTACAATTTTTACTAAATTATGAAATAATAAAGTTTGTGTTAAATTTTATTTACTCTTTATTACTATGAAAAAAGATGTTTTCTTAGGGAGGCAGACTATGTTTTTATAGAGAATAGCTTGCTTAAGATTCATATTGTATAGACAGCAATCTGATTAAAACACAGATCCTATTTTCTTTTGTTTTTTATTATAGTTCAAAATTTCGTTTTACTTCTCTTTACTACACTAGGATCTGGAAGAGTTGTTATATAACCCGCATTCTGGATAATGTGAGGGATTAGCCAATGAAAAGGTCTGTTAAGAGGAGCTTTTGGTGTGTGGTACATGGAACTGTGGGTAATCCACTAGAAACATCAATGCTGATTGGTTTATCAAATGTCTGGCGTCATAGGGTCAAAAGCCGCTCGTATGACCTCTGACGTGACCTATCACTACAACTTGTCAGATCTTCATGTAGTGTAGGCCATCGAAAGTATAAAAAAACAAAACGAAATATAGATCTGTATTTTAATCAGATTGTTAATTGGTCAACCTTATAGAGTGAAATGGCTTCCTGCAGATTTGTCAAAAGCCTTTGTCAACTTGGTAGTTGAGAAATAGTTGAGTAATTAGATTCAAAGAATATTTGCCGATAATTTGTACTCATATTAATCTTAAAATAACTATGCACATTTATTCTGCAGTATCAATCATGTAACTTGTGTGTAGACCTTCTTGTACAAGTGTTAATGTGCCATACGTCACAATACATTATTATCATATACCGGCAATGGTCAAGAGCATAAGATTATAGTCCTGTGTGTTCTTGACCACGTGACTCACTGTTTTGTGCATCACAGAGTGATTTATGATGTATGGCACTTTGCTTTATGGATGGTTAATTTTGATTTACTGAACCTGCGAGTAATGAAGTAATGTGTAAAAGCTCATTGCATATAATTTCAAATTTGAATTTGATAGTAGCCAATGATTAATGGATTCCACGCTGTGCGAAACACTGTGATTTGGCAAGCTAGCAAACTCGGTGTTTTTCCACCGTGTTCGGCGATTCGAGTCTGAAACTCTTGCAGTGTTCTGTAATTTAAATCCATTCATAATCATTCAAAGTCGCAAATATAGACCTCCCATACAAACGACTTTGCCAATTATCGAAAACGACACAAGATTTCAAAAACAAACTTAATGGGTTGAATTCCAAAGCAGCTTGATTTATTCTATATTAAGTTTATTTTGCGTATTTTATACGATAGGTTGGAAATAAGTATTTAATAGAGTCAAATGTTAATTGAAGTGTGATCTAAATAACCAGCAACTGCCAGGCAGGATACACCCACATTTTGTAAGAGATGGATACAAAACAAGCTAAAAACAAAAACGATTTTTTTAACAATCAGTGGCCATAATCCAGAAAGTTATGGTCTGAAATGCGCAAATATCAAAAAGGGACTCAGATTTTTGGAATATAAAGATATGTTTTAAGTTTTATCAAAATCGGATAAAATTGTGCATACAAAGAACGGCAATTTTGTCGGTCAGTTTCATTCGATTTTCCCGAAATTCCAATTCAACCTTCATTATGGTGGAATGGTGATATATCTAAATGGTTTTTAAGATCGGAAAAAAAATTGTGATTTTTCACCAATCAGGGGCCATAATCCAGGAAGTTATGTTCGGATATGTGTGATTATCGCAAGGAACCAAGATTTTTATGATAAAAACATATATTTAAAGTTTCATCCAAATTGGATAAAGATAGGTTGCCAGGCAACGAAACATACGCCCACAGCAGCTATATCGTCCGGGGAGTCAACAAGAGTTGTCGCATATTTTTACTTTTATCGGTAATGGAACATTTATAATACATTAAAATCTGATTAAGAGTAACAACTCATTAAGTAATTATCAGAAAACCATTAGAATTTGTTTGGTTTTTATAAAGTTCTGCCCCATGCTAACGTTTACGAAACTTTTAACATCATGGATTTAGCTGTTCAAGTCATAAAGTTTCATTGAAAATCAATAGGCTTCTTCGTCTTATGCCCTTAAACACTGTGTATAAATTTAAAGTCAATCAGATATTAACTTTGGCCTCTAGAGCGTCCACAAGATTTTTTGAAGTGATCAAGGGCCATAACTCTGGCAGTAATTATCATAAATCGCTGAAAATCAATAGGCTTCTTCGTCTCATGGCCTTAAACACTGTATATAAATTTAAAGTCAATCGGATATTAACTTTAGCCTCTAGAGCGTCCACAAGCAATTGTGGATGCCGGACGGACGGACGGACGGACGGGGGCGACGACAATATACGACCACATTTCAATGTGGGCGTATAAAAACTGTGCCCTCTAGAGGGCCCACAACATTGATATACCATATTTTTACACTATCTGCATACAAATTCAAACTCAACCATCATTAGTGTATAACTGTGATATATTTACACGTTTTTATTTTTAAATCGGATAAAAATTGTGACCTCTATATGGACCACAAGCTCAATACGTAATTTTTCTACAATCAAGGGCCATAATTCAGGAAGTTACGATCTGATATGTGCGAATATCGACAAGAACCAAGATCTTTAAGATATAACCATGCATTCAAAGTTTCATCAAAATCGGATGAAAATTATTACTTCTAGAGGGTCCACAACCTTGATATACCATATTTTACACTATTTGAGTACAAGGGGAGGCCATTTTGTCCGGCAGTTTTGGATGATTAGGGTGTAACGCCATATACTAAAATGTTTTTTTTTTAAATCGGATAAAAATTGTGACCTATACAGGTACCACAAGAAAAAATTTGACTTTTCGTACAATCAGGGGCCATAATTCAGGAAGTTACGATCCGATATGCGTGAATATGGAAAGGAACCAAGATCGTCAAGTTATAAACATGCATTTCAAGTTTCATCAAAATCCGATCAAAATTGTGACCTCTAGAGACTAGAGTGTCCACAAGCTAAAATCGTGATTTTTCATAAAATCAGGAGCCATAATCCATGAAGTTATTGTCCGATAAATGCCAATATCGATAGGAACCAAGATCTTTGGGAGATAGACCTATATTGCTATATTTCAAGTTTCGTCAAAATCGGATAAAAATTGTGGCCTGTAGACTGTCCACAAACAAATTGTGGATGGACGGACAGGGGTGACGACAATATACGTCCACATGAAAAGCTTGAAATCTATAACAATTCAAGACAAGAAAGTTTTGCTTGTAATAATGCTTCTGCCTTATGAATTGTTTGCTTAGGTAATAATAAACATTAGTGTATATCAAATATAAGGTTGTAATCTAAAAATTATTGATCGGATTAAGTGTTTTAGAGCGTGTGACACAGCAATATATATCGACAGAACATCTGACACAGCAATATATCAAATAATTTTAATCAGATTGATGTGGAATTGTTGTAAAGATTATACAGTATTTGATTGTTTTATGTGCTCTCTAACTTACAGCGTTGGAGGTAATCCACTCCATAATGAGGATATTCCTTCTGTTCTTGATATCTTCACAAATGCATCCTGAAATTAAAGGTTACAGTATCTATATTGTACAAAGGGACTCTGGCTCTGTGAGTGTTGCTCTGGTGCACAAATAGTAGGTACCTGGTATGATCTAGGTGTAGCCTGGTTCCCCCTTTGCCAGTGGTGCAAGACAGAGGGACTGGCAATGGAACAAGCCAACAGTGGTGCTGATGTCCCCTGCCAAAATCCAAAAATAGATGACACATATTAATTAATCACACATTTTTTTTTTTCAAAAGTATCAAGCAATCAAACTGATTAGCAACTATACACAAAGTTTCATCACTCTCTATTAGATAGAACCAAAGTTATCTTGTTCCAAAGCATTGACCCATGAAATTGCTTACCTCTGTTTAGCTTTTAAAGCTCGAAATGTTGATCATTGAACTCAGTCAAGACATTCACCTAATGAACATCGACATCAAGTTTAAACATTCTACCTCAATTAAAAGCAGAGTTGTTCATATGTTCCAAAGTCTTGACCAATCAAATTGCTTATCGATCCTTAACCTAAGCAGAAAATTCTCATCATCAAACTTAGTCATGGTAATGATATAATGAATCTATATTCAGAGCTTCATCAGTCTCATTTAATTAAAACCAAAGTTATTGGCCCCAAAGCATCAATTAATCAGATTGCTTATCTCTGCTTACCGTAAGCAGACGATGTTTATCATCGAACTCCATCAAGGCATTCACCTAATGAACACCTACGCTAAGTTTGAACATTCTACCTCAACTAGAATGAGAGTTATTGTGTTCCAAAATCTTGATCAATCAAATAGCTTATAGCTCTGCTTACCCTAAGCAGAAAGTGCTTATTATGGAACTTAGTCAAGGTATTGTTGTGATAAAACCATACACCAAGTGTCATCACTCTCACTTAATTAGAACTAAAGTTATCGTGTCCCAAAGCATCAACCAATCAAAATAATCATCTCTGCTTACCCTAAGCAGAAAATTCTCATCTTCTAACTCCAAACTCCATCAAGGCATTCGCCTAATAAACACCTACGCCAAGTGTGAACATTCTAGCTCAATTAGAATGAGAGTTATTGTGTTCCAAAGTCTCGACCAATCAAATTGCTTATCGCTCTGCTTACCCTGAGCAGAAAATGCTCATTATCGAACTTAGTCAAGGTATTGATGTAATAAAACTATACAAAATTCTCACTTAATTAGAACTAAAGTTATCGTGTCCCAAAGCATCAACCAATCAAACTGCTTATCTCTGCTTACCCTAAGCAGAAAATGCGCATTGACCTAATAAACACCTACACCTAGTTTGAACATTCTAGCTCAATTAGAAAGAGAGTTATTGTGTCCCAAAAAGTGTGACGGACAGACAGACGAACAGATGGACAGACAGACGGACGGACGAATGCATTTTAATAGTCCCCTGCTTTCTTCGAAAGGCGGGAGACAAAAAAAACCCTTGTGGTGCTGGGTACTCATTCGAATGCACGCAAAAGAAACCATGACTGAATTTGATTAAAGAGCAGACGATGCACATGATGCTGCACTCCAGGGAAAAATTTCCTTATAGCAAACTGTAATTTACAATGATCTTCAAAATACAGGGTGCAAATTACTTTGTTTTAGTTGAATAGCAGTTTTAGCCATTTGGAACTATTGATTAGCAGTTTTTTTTTTTATTTTCTACCATTTTCAATGAGATATATGTAACACTATAGCTAACAGATTAGCCAATTTTTGTTTGACGCAACTAGTCATGAGTAGGCTATCAACAGGAAGTGGAGGTTAGAGGGTAATTATAATTAATATTTCCTTGTATTTACTAAAGGAATTCCAATTTTCCCTTGTTTTTTTTTTCTGTGTTTAATCAAAAGGTATTACCAGTAACATCTGTTTTGTGGTAATTAAATAAATACCAAAATACAGTGTTTCACCTACATGTTTGCATCTGAGTATAACTTTGGTAAAACAGAGGCAGACATTGATCAAAGAAAAACTTCTCATAAATATGCATAAAAATTTAAAATCAGCTTAATTATAACTACAAAAGACCAAATAATACTGCTGGAACTGACAATCAATAAATATTGTTTAAACATTCTTACCAGAGTTCCAGTAAAGTGTCCTGGTTTTTTATACCAAGTTTGAGACTGTGCATTCTGACCATTTAGGCATGTACAGATATGATCCATAAGTCCATTGCAATAAAGAAAGCACATTCCTTTAGTGAAGGGCTTACTCTGAGCTTGAAGACGTATTTTCACGACATCAAGAGGAGTAACTGGAAAAAAAGAAGGGAGATAGTGCCAGCATTAAAGCATATCTACCCATGTTCCTGAAACAACAGCTGCAAGATTTACAAAATCTAGCCATTACTAGATTAGTCTGAAATTCCCAAACTTTAAGGTATGTTATCTCCCTTTACCACAGACATGTGATACTAACCTGTAACCGAACAGATTTGTTTACAGGTGTTGAAAGATTTTTTTTAGTTGACAAATTCAGGGGAAACCAAAGAAAAGCAACCTTACTAGCATAATAGAAGAACATAAAAGTTAAAAGTAAATTAGAAAGGTTTGGATAATCATAGTGGTAAAGCTGGGGTTTAAGTAAAAAAGTTCCAGCAACCTTGACATTGAACAAACCTTGAACTTTGCAACTCAATTATTACAGCTGGAAATTTCAGTTGGAAAGCACAAGAAATCTGAGAGCTCTAGAGCTGGGTCCTAACCATCCTCAGTATCCCCAGTGCATTGGCCGAGAAATTTCATCTGGATTTTCCGATGTGATTTCCCCCTGCCAGTGGTGCAGGACGGAGGGCCTGACAAGGACAGCTGTCTAGTCATTCAGATGGGATGAAAAACCAAGATCCTGTGTATACATTGGCATGCACGTAGAAGATCCCTTGGCAGTTGGAATTCAATATAAGAGTAGGCCATAGTGCTGCTGCCCAGGCAAAATTGTCCTCATACATGTCGCACACTGTATGGCGTATGCCCATCTTCATTAGCCCAGTCGGAGCAGAACAATAGGACGTTGAACACCATTTCATTTCATTTCATTTCATCCCCAGTGGTTTCATTCCGTTCCAGTCCACTAATTGTCTGCCCTTGTTGTTTGTGCTAATTTTATCGACAAATAAAATAAATCGTTAAATACATAAAAACTGACATAAAAATGACATATTTCCTGCATGTCACTTCTTTTATATTATATTTCTTGCAAACTTTCTAATAATCGAGCGAACAAGACGAATATTGTTGGCCAAGATCAAGCTGACACACTATAAGCCAGCACTAGGATATTCACCACACGATAAGCAGAAATCAAGCTGGCACACTATAAGAAATTTGCTGGAAGACCGTGACTGCAATGAAATCATGTGATTTATATAGCTAATCTGAGCCTTGGACAAATAACATAAATTGAAAATATAGTCTACTTTTATTAATTAAGTTACCCTGGACAGTGACCCATTTCTAAAGTTTTTGATTGCTTCGCAGACTCAAGCTACGATCACGGGCAGATAATTTGAATATGTGAATACCCCATAGATAGATTACCCCAGGATATAGTGGAGTACCACAGAATGGGACCACTGGGGATACCGAGGATGGGTCCTTGATCAATCGAAATTAGTAACAAGCCGAAATCCCAAAATAATAAGATGACACATATTAATTAATCACACATTTATTTTTTTCAAAAGTATCGAGGAATCAAACTACACACTAAGTTTCATCACTCTCTATCAGAAAGAATCAAGATTATCTTGTCCCAAAGTATCGACCAATGAAATTGATTAGCTCTGCTTAGCTTTAGCTTGAAATGTTAATCATTGAAATCAGTCAAGACATTCACGTAATGAACATCTAAATCGGGTTTAAACATTCTACCTCAATTAAAAGAAGAGTTTTTATGTTCCAAAGTCTTGACCAATATTCAAATTGCTTATCGCTCCTTAGCCCAGGCAGAAAGTTCGCACAATTGAACTTAGTCAAGGTAATGATATAATGAATCTATATTCAGAGTTTCATTGCTCTCACTTCATTATAACCAAAGTTATCGTGCCCTAAAGCATCAACCAATCAGATTGCTTATCTCTGCCTACCGTAAGCAGACAATGTTCATAATCGAACTCCATCAAGGGATTCGCCTAATGAATGCCTACATCAAGTTTGAACATTCTACCTCAATTACAAGGAGAGTTATTGTGTTCGAAAGTCTCAACATTCAAATTGCTTATCGCTCTGCTTACCCTGAGCAGAAAATGCTCAATATCGAACTTAGTCAAGGTATTGATGTAATGAAACTATACACCAAGTTTCATCACTTTCACTTAATTAGAACTAAAGTTATCATGTCCCAAGGCATCAACCAATCAAATTGCTATCTCCGCTTACCCTAAGCGGAAAATGCTCATCTTCGAACTCCATCAAGGTATTGACCTAATAAACACCTACACCAAGTTTGAACATTCTGGCTCAATTAGAGAGAGAGTTATTTTTTCCCAAAAAGTGTGACGGACAGACAGACGGACGGACGAACCCATTTTAATAGTCCCCCGCCTTTCGAAGAATATTACAATTACGTGAAGGCCTTGATAAGATGTACAGAGTCAAAGCGAGATGAAGCCTTCTATTGAAGATGATATCTACCAGCAGTTTTCAAAAAGGTCATATAATTTAAACCTCAATGGTGCTACAATTGTGAGAGAGGTAAATAACACTGATAGTTATTTTCGAAAATCATTGAAAATCAATAGTATTCTTCCTTTCAATACAGCGGATAGACAACCAATATTAATTTCAGAAAGGTTAAAAGAGGCAAGTCTCTAACTCAATATCATCCACAGTCTTCAACATTGCAAACACGACTCATTGGTCACTTTAAATCAACAGTGATGTTGTTATCTTACAGTGAAAAGATGGGCTTCTTATATCCAATAATTAAGACAAAACGAAAATTTTAAAATTGGCACACGAATCGCATGCCAGAATGTTTTTACATAAAGTAAAACAAAAAAATAGAGATGGAACTAGGTGTTCGATTTTAATTTGGAGACAATTTTTGGATGCGCCGAGGTCGGAAATGTGAGGGTAGCCGAAGTTTAGAAGAGATAGGTCCATAGGGGGATAGATGGATTCAGTCGGTTTGTGGTGTTCCTCAATTGTATTGGTGACGATAAAGCTGACACCATATTTCGTTCTTTTAAGGAAGCGATAGGAAAATATGGGACACCTTTAAGAGTTCATTCCGATCAGGGTATGGAAATCTTTAAAGTTGCAGAAAGCATGTTGCAATTACTAGAACCTTCTTCAATGATCACTGGTAAGAGTACGCACAATCAGCGAATTGAGCGTTTGTGGAGAGACGTTTTCAAAGGCGTACTGGCTTTTTACCATGAACTGTTTTATTTTTGGGAAGAGCGCGGAATCTTGGATTCTCTAAATGAAGTTCATCTGTATGCTATTCATTTGTTGTGAATAAATAGTAAACTGGAAATCGGGAAAAATGCCTGGGCACGCCATAGACTGAGGACAGTTGGTACATCACCACTTCGTCTTTTCCTGGCTGGATCATTTAATTTATCTGTACCACCAGTGCCAATGTCAGAAGATAATTCGCACTATGGGGTAGAAGGGCAAGTCGACATTGATGTAAATGATAATCCCCGACCTCAATTAAACCCAATTAATTTAAATGTAGCACCAGATTTTGAACGTGGATTATTTTCTCAGTACCCTGTAAATAGACTGTCAGAAAATCACGGCATCGACTTGCATATGGATGTTGTAAGGTATCTTAATAACCTAGAAATTGACACAAATGGGTTGCAACGAATATAATAATGTAATATGAATGTATATAAACTCATTTACATTCAATCGTTTCCGTTTTTCTCTAATTTCAAATCAGTTATGTTCGGCGATAGTATTTATTGTGCATGCTCTCCAGATAAGAATATGGCGTATCCGTTTGACATGACTAGAGGAATATTCTAGTCTCGTTCTTCGAGTAACTTATTACACACAAATGGCGCTGAAACACATTATGGAACACAATTCATGTACCAATGGTAATTTGTTTATATTGTCTTAAATATCGGATATCAGAAGCACAACTTTTCCCGGTAAGATCACAACATTGTCGATTCTATTATATTCAAAATTAATCAATAGGTTTGGTAAACTGCAATCCTCTAAAACTTTCCGAATCCACGCCATGTTTGCTTAGGGATTGTGAGTTATCCCCCTTTAGACTTGATAACCTGCTCTTAATGACTTCACACTTGTCCTACGTCACACGCTATCAGTAGGCTACTAACAATGTAAATAGTAGTTATAATGATAATTCACCGCACGTAATCAAGAATGCACATCACGTAATGCCATAACCACATCACATAACGGCTTAGCCACATCACGTAATGACATAACTAGGGTTGTGACGATACAGAGTCGGTTTGTATCGTGATACAGAAGGGAAAATATCGCGATACAATATCTTTACCAAATTAAGAAATAAAAAACCCAACAAAATAATAGTTTTCAACCGTTTAATTTAAGATAACATTATTAATATTTTAAATCTAATAACAGAATGATTTTAATAGATGTATTTTCATCTTAATATGTATGGGCCATGTTTACAGTAGTTTACACATACATGTTTTTAATTATTTAGGCACATATGCCACAAATATTTAAAATTTTTTGTCTGCAATGTTATTCTATCACTTAGCAACCTTGCTCTGTTACGTCCGTGTCACGTGACCGATTAAATTTATTAAAATTATCAGGTCACTAAATTAGGGAATGTTTATAAATTATAAGTGCAATATTTTTATTGAACTATAACTTTTTGGTTTTAAAATGTAGTAATTTATTATGACAGTTAAAAAGATAAAATAAAACTTCGACTTCGAGGCATTCGGCAAACCTCAGTAGTTTCCGATACCCTACATCGGAAACGAGATCAAGTTTTCGAGGTATAACTCCAAGCTATAAATAGGTCAGTCACAAAGCACTTAACTATTTGATTGGTCGATAAGACGGGAGTTTCCAATAATGTCATTACCGAGATTGATTTTGTAGTCACACGCAAAAAAGCTGTTATGCCGTCATCTCACTCATCACATAGAATTCGTGTTATCATTACTAGGTCAATATCAATATTATTTGGCTCTCAAACAGAACTGTGTTTACTGACTTTACTAATTTAAAATAAGCATACTATAATTGAACTCGCTAATAATTGATGAGGTTTAAAGCACGGACC